GTAACACCTCGATGTCAGGATGCAGGTGAGAACCATGAGAGCACATTCACACTCTGCGGGAAGGCGGGGATTGTCGCTCCGGCCCCACTGCCTGCCTGTTCTACCTCTGCCACCACAAAACCCGCAGAATAATTCATTGGGGAGGATAAAGTCAGGGGTTTGGCTCACGCCTCAAAGCACAGGGCCTTACCATCAAAGGGAAACGGGCATCTGCAAGCACCGCTATCCTGCTAATAAATACGGTGTTTATTAGAAGTAGAAAATGGGGGTGTTTGCTTTGGGTGAAACGCGATCCTGGGCTCATGGCTTTGGGGAAATTGCCACTGAACTGAGATCACCGGTAACCTCGGCTTCTCTTCCACAGGCAGTATTCGCTGACATTGTTACGATACATTCGTTTGGTGCTCACTTAAACAACTTTCAAAATACATTAGATCCTCAGCCTACGAATCAAACGTCTAAAAAAGAAAAAATAAAATCGTAACAGTCCTAACTAAAAAGATAACCGCTTTAAGTGTTTCTGGGATATGAAGACCAATCTCCAAAAGACAAGTTTGTTTCCAGAAGAGTGAGGAAAGAAACGGGGGTCAAGGTTCTGGGAGACGCCGGTGAGAGAGGCTGCGAGGGGCCAAAGAGAAGCGATTAGCTGGAGGTTTCGGAGCTCTTACGGGAGCGAACCTTGCGCCATCCCAAAAGAGCGGGAGCGCGCCGACGACCGCTTCAAAAACCGGGCGAGTTAATTTTCCAGCCGCGTGGAGAACAGAAGCATCCCTGAAACGGTGTAAAGATCAGTGAACTGTGAAGCAGCAGCCGGGCGATCTCGTGTGACCGTTTCCATCGGGCAATGCCGCGACCTCAAAGGAAGCCTCACGTCACCGCTCACAAGGAGCGAGCGAACGGCAGATTCTTTGGGCTGGGCCGGGCTCTAGAGGTTTATTAGGAGAGTTAGCACTAGTTCAGGCTCACAGGTCAAGGCAATCAAGGTCCAAGCTGTAAAGTAGCCACTGGCATTTTTTCCCAAATACATCCCTTTAAATGCAGCCCCCTATAAAGAGAGTATAAATATGAAGCCCTGAGAACAAACTTCCATTATAGTACATTTCTATTAAAAATATCAGTGTTTCGATGACAAAATTATAAGTTATGTATATTTAAATAAACAGCTAGTAGCTAGCTTTCAAGAGCCACGTAATATCAAAAGGTAGAAGATTGTCTGTACCAACCGATGGGGCAGAGAGCTGGAACTGTAAGAAAAAGATTTTGCATTAACCACCATTTCCTCACCGATTTCACAGGCTTCCAAATATTCCCGTGACCGTGTTCTGAGACGCTTCAATTTGCGACATGTCTCTGCTAGCTAGAACTTGAACGCCATAGATGCAAGAACAAGACCTGAACCTGTAAACCTCCCGTGAGCAGTTCTTTCTCACAAAAGTTTTTGGTTTTTTTTGTTAACAAAGCTTTCTATCCCCGTGTGCTCAGGGACCTCACACTGGTTCACAGACCAGACCCTCCAGTCCTCTACTCTTCAGCCCCAGAACAGGAGTTAATCCCCAGGCAAAGCTCCTTGTGCCTGGAGGCCCATCTGCACATCCTGACCCAAAGGGAGTGATTTTTTATTTTTTTGGGGGGGCAGGTTTTGTAAAATCTAGGATAATCGATGTCTCTGCAGTCCCCTCCTATTTACCGTGACGGGGACACCCAGCTCCCTACTCTGCCCTCAAATCACACCTTAACAGCCACCACTGATGTCTTGATCATCTCCTCAAGCATTCATTTAACCTCAAGGATAATTTTTGCTTGTTTTAAATCAACTCCTATGCCTTGCCACAAACATCACACCTCCTTAGTTCTGGCCTCTTTCAGCCACTGGCAACTTGAGCTCTCAGAAGGCAAGCAGGGCTACGCTAAAGCCACACCGAGCGAGAAGACTGGCCCAGCAGGAAGAGCACACTCTCCAGTGCTTCAGCCGTGTAAGCGCCGAGCTCTGGAATAACAAAATCCAGAAATAACCGCATATTCTCAAGCCTTCAAGCATTTTAAAGATGCAGTATTCCTTTACCCTAAGGTCTCTAAACGTTGCTGCAACATTAGGTTCTGCCGTTCAACTTGGGCACTTTTCTTCTTCTAAGCATGATGTGGTCTATTGATGCTTTTTTCCTCCCTTTTAGAGGTTTGGTGGCACCAGTTCTGTGCTGACGTACCAAGGCAGGCAGCTCTGATTATTTCTATCACCCCGATCAAACTTCACACCGAGGAACACGCAGGTCCTGGCAGTATCACACTCTGATCCCGTGGGATCCTTTGAAACATGTCACCTCACTCCTCCAAAGTGGGTCAGACACCACGTACCAGGAATGTGCCGCCCAGCTTTGACCCCCAAAACGCTGGGGAGCTGGTGTAGTTCTTCATCCACGCTGCCCTGGCAGCGGCAACGGGCAGTCCCAGGGCAGCTCCTCCCGTGCCAGCGCAGGAAAGAGGAGTTGCTCCCTCTCACGGCTGTGCCCTCGGTTCTGCCGACAAACCGCTTTAGACAACTCTCAACTCGATGGGTGATCCTTGCCTGCTCTGCCTGGAAGCTCTCCAGCCACTCCAGAATCTGATCACGTATTACTGAAATCAAAAGAAGCCTTCCAACGAGCTTTTATGTTTTGCAAGGACCAAGACGGCTACTGAAGTATCTGTTAATTAAGGCTGAACCTGTCCTTACTCATTCAGAAGCCAACAAAAAAAAAAAACCAACCAAGCCAACCCACCAAACTACAGGGTAGTTTTTCCCAGCTTCATCTCCTTAAAATACTCATTAAAAGGAAGCGTCACAAAACCCTGACTGGTAGAGAAAGACAAGCACCTCTTGTCTTCCAAGTAATTGTGTCTTCTGGTATTATTACAGGCAAAAAGCTTCAGGGAGCAAGAAAAAACAATGGCCAAAATAATAATAATTACAAAAAATCATAATGCAACATTTCAGTCACAACTACTAATCGTGAGAAGCTGGACTGAACTCACTGGGTTGCAGGATGAGGTTCCCAGCTTTTAAAGTTATCGGACAGGGTTACAGCTTAATGTCATGCTGTCAACCCTGTTCTTAGCAAGAGTCCAGGAAAACTGTTTTCCTGTCCAATCTGAACAGCAGCAGCGTCTCTATAAAGCTCAGAACATCTAAACGTAGAAGCAAACATTTCAGCAGTCATGAACTGTAAAGCTTAACATGAAATCAAAAATGGGAAAAAAAAAAAGTCCTGGGATAGTAAGTCAAGATAAAATCTCATGCTGTTTTGATTTCCCCACCCTTTATATTAATTATGTGAAATTGGCAACTCGAGTGCCTTCAGACTGCATAACAGCAAGGATGAGGTGCCAAACTCAGGCCAAAACTTGTCAGAGAGTTTCGGGTTGCATCTTGAATTTTTGTTAAAAAAAAAACACCACCAAAACAAACAAAAACCCAAACCCTCACACTTAAAAAGGCGACTTGCAGAGCTCTTTGGGATCTATTTACCAGAACCCCTTTGTGCTATTTAAGCACAGGGTCTCCACCTGGCTACTCTGCATTTTGGGGACTTGGGTCTTGCCTCTCCTGCCTTTCCAAAAAAAGGCTGCAAAGCACAGGGAATGGCAGGGATCGTGACGGGTATTGATCACGTTTCACTAATTTGACAATAAAAACCATTTTTGTTCAGACTGTTGAAAAAAAAATAATAAAAAATAACACCTGCAGAGGCCAATCATAAAAACTCGCTGGATATTTACTAGTGAGTTGTGCTCTTAAGAGCTCACAACTCCTGTCCGAAATCTCCAGTTAGTGTCCTGACAAAAAAGAGCCTGGCATTCTTGGCATTTCCGAGGTAAAAATAAGGGTTGAGAAAAACCCCTCCCTATCTGAAAGATGAAGATAACTTCAAGCGTGCTTTTAAGTACATTAAAACACGATTAAAGAAAAAAAAAAAAACCACAACCAAAACTAAGCGGTTCTACTTCTTGGCTGATCAGCAACAAAGAACCCACGCAAATTAGTTTCTTTTTTGTAAACACTTTGAAACAAAAGTCAAAAACCCCACAAGTCTCCCTTTCCAAAACCGTGCACATAAAAATAATAATAAAAAAACCCCCACAACATGAACACATCCCTCCTTGTGCTTGGATATGGCAGATTGGGCATTTAGGAACTGCAGCCTACTTGAGAATCCAAGTGTTGGCGCAGCAAGTTGTGTCGTGAAAGAGATACTGCATCTTTAAGGTAGCTCAGCGAGAATCTCCTACGAGTACAAACCACCGTGGGAGTGCAACAACGCTAACGCAGAAAACAAATAGGAAAAAGTAATGCTATTTATTAAAAAGAAGTTCACCTCCGAATTGTTCTCGTGAAATTGTAACGCAACAAGTTTGGATCGAAATGTGCTTGCTCTCCCAATATCTGGACTTCCCCCTCCCCTCCCAAAAAAAGGTTTCCTAAGAATCAGTTTTTAAAAGCATTTTATAATTTGACAGAGCCATAAATTAATACTGTATGGAGATGATGAATATCCTATGCTAGTGGTCAGTGACCTTTTGTAAACACTAGCCAGATGCGAGCAAAACTGGCGAGAAAACTACCGTCACGGGCCTTTTTGACGAGCAATATCGTATTTCTTCCCAACGCCCAGATTCTTAATTGTCTTCACAAAACCTTTTCCTATTTTTTTCGAGATACTTTATTTAAAACCTAACAACCTGAAAACCAAAACAAGTCTTCAAACCTCTTCCGCTAACACTAAATCCACAAGGCAATTCACTTCAGTCGGCCGTAACTACGCAAGCTCTCGGGCGAGAGATCCGCTCGGACGGGATCTCCCCACCTCCCGCCCCTCTTCCATCCATCCGCTCCCCCCCTCCCCAACCATCCAGGCACCCTCCTGCGGAGGCGAAGGTGAAGCGAGGGATGGGAGGAAGCGGCGCGGCGGGCCGGCCTTCCCCTCTACGTGCGGTT